CTATTCCATGACTATCCTTTGAGTCTAGATATTCAGCCATGAAATAGCACAATTAGAAAGTTTGCAATAGAACATTAATTAATTTGCAATAGAACATAAACTTGGGGTACATATTCTTCCACGATATCTACACTATCAATGAAGAGAATGGGCATGCATAGGAAATCACAATGAGGGGCCCATACATGGGGAATATATGTGGTAGGACAATTCATATCTCCACCACTTCAGGACCCCAGGTGAGGTTCTTGTGATGCCCTTCCTGAGCTGGTCACCATGTCTCTGCTGGCAATGCCACTACTAAGTCTGTATCCCAAAGAGATCCCCCCAAAAGGGAAAAGGACCCACATGTACAAAGATATTTATAGCAGCTCTTTCTGTGGTGGCAAAGAATTGGAAATTGAAGGGATGCCCATCAATTGAGGAATGGCTGAACAAGCTGTGTTATATGGATGTAATAGAAGACTATTGTTACATAAGAAATGATGAGCAGGATTTCAGAAAAACCTGGAAAGACTTATATGAACTGATGCTGAGTGAAGTGAGAAGAACCAGGAGAACATTGTACACAGTAACAGCAACATTGTGTGATGATCAACTCTGATAGACTTAGCTCTTCAAAGCAATACAACAACACAAGACAATTCCAAAAGACTCATGATGAAAAAGGCCATCCACATCCAGAGAAAGAATTATGGAACCTCTATGCAAATCAAGAATACTATTTTCACTTTTTTAAATTTTGGGGTTTTTTTGTGGCTTTTCCCTTTTGTTCTGTTTCTCCTTTCACAACATGACAGTAATGTGTCATGAAATATGTTTACATGATTGCACATGCATAACCTATATCAGATTGCTTGCTGTGTTGGGGAGGGGGATGGGAGGGAGGGAGAAAAAAATTTGAAACTAAAAATCTTATAAAAAATGAATGTTGAAACCTTATCTTTACATGTAATTGGAAAAAAATAAAATACTATTTACCAAAAACAAAACAAAACAAAACAATGTCTCTGCTGGGATCCTCTTTATCAGGCTGGTCAAGTCATTTCCTTTTCAGTCTGCTAAAGTAAAGTTGCTAAAACCTCTTCCTGATGAAGGCATCCTAATGGGGGAAACCACACATGTAACAAAGTCAGCTGCAAGTCAGATAAAAGACCCCTGGGTGTTTGGGATGCCTCAGCAAAAAACATGGTAACAATATCGTCTTTTATATTATTTCTACGAATAGAACCATATCAGTTTCTGAGGCTGAAGCATCTAATGTTTAGGCCCTCATCATGGAGCTGGGACCCTTTTCCATGAGGATTTCTTTTTCCCTGAACAATGGCTATGAATCTTGATTAGAAGCAGGGCGCCTAGAGTGGTTGGGTGGAGGTGGGCTGCTGTTCCTGGGGTTCTTAGGCTTATCCTCTGTGTCAGTTGGTTTTGGTCAACCAGTCAATCAACATGCAATTATTAAGCACCTACTATATGCCAGACCCTGGGCTAAGCTCTGGGTACACAAGAAAAAGGAAAAATATGGTGAGGCCTTGAGGAGATCACATTCTAATGAGGAAGACAGCATTCAGACAACTATGTACGCACAGGGTATATGTAGTGTAAATGGAAGGTAATAACAGAGGGAAAGTTCTGAGAGAGGAGAGAACATGGAAGGGCCTCTTGCCTGTTAAAGATGGGAAGCTGGACAGCAGATGTGAGGAAAAAGAACATTCTACTTAGGGGGACAGCCAGGGTGAAGTCATAGAATAGGGAGATAGTGTGTTGTATGTAAGGAGTAGCAAGCATTGGTGTTGGTGGAGGTAGGGATGGTGGGCCTCTTCTTTAGATGGGTAGCTCCGATGGATGATGGCATTGGTGGTCAGGCTGGAAGAAAAGTCAGTAGTCTGGGGCCACCACTGTTCCTTCAGTTTAACGACTCATTGATGGCTATCTGTCAAGAGACCGGGACTGGAATCGAGACTCTTCCAACTCATTGACTGTGCCTTGGGCAAGTAAATCCCTTCCCTATGCTGAGCCTCAGTTTCTCCCTCTGTACAATGAAAGGGCAGATGAGATGGGCTTTATAAAGGTCCACCTTCCAGTTTAGAGGTTCTGTGTTTCCTGATCTGTCACTGTACTGTGGGGAAACTGAGGCAAGGGAGTTGTTCTCATGCTCCATAAGAAAGAAGGTTGCCCAGGGTAGGTCCCCATTCATTGACCTGAGCTGGGACAAGAAAGTGCAAATCCTTTAGCCTGCCTTTGACCAGTTGTACAGCACAGACCCCAAGACCAGGACCACCTGGACACATCATAGATTGCGTTTAACTTGGTGTTTAAAGGTGTGCTCACAGCTGTTCCTGTACGGAAAGAGTTATGCATAAATTCTGGCAAGGTTCTACCTAGGCCAGAGTGGTTAAGGGTCCATCCCGGCCCCTCCCCTTCAGACCCGCCCCTCTGAGACAACAGCTCTGCCTCCAAGCTGAACGGCCCCGCCCCTCCCTGATGGCCCCGCCCCCTCGGCTGCACCTGCTCGCACCTCTGGCTGTCAGTCCCGCCCCTAGGGGCAACAGCCAATCCCAGGCTAAGAGTAATGAGCAGAAATTGGTAAGGTGCCTTAAATAAAGACTGGCAAAGGGCTTTACCTGAGTCATCTCATTTGATTTTCATGTTGACTTTGTGAAGTCGGTGATATCATTAGTCTCATTTAACAGATGAGGAAACTGAGGTGCAGAGAAAATAAGTGATGGTTCTGAGGCAAAATTCCGCACTCAGGTCTTCTGGACTCCAAATCTAGCACTGTATCCACTATTCCCCCTTTCCCCAACAACCCACCGCTCCCAGGATAAGGGGTTGCCTCCTGGGAACTGCTTCCTCCTTTGTCTAGCCAAATCTACTCACCCCCTTTGGGCCTTGACTTTAACGCGTCGGAAGGGGCACTGGATTCAGAGTCAGAAAGTCTTCCTTCAAATCTTGTCTCTGCGCACTGGCTGCCTGTGTGACTCTGGGCAAGTCACTTAACTTCTGGGCCTCATTCATGTCATCCATTCATCCCTCCTTCCCTCCATCCCTCCCTCCATCCATCCATCCATCTGAATAACCAACCTTGGCCTAGAATGTGCTTAGATTTGGAGTTGGAGGACCTGGATTCCCAATCCCAGATCTCCAGCTTGGTTAAAATACTTAATGTCTCTGAGACTTAGTTTTCTCATCTATAAAATGAAGGGGTCGGGGAGAAGTAGGGGCTGTGGTTGAAGCAGCTGATCTTCAAGGGCCTTTTCAGCTAAATGTAGGATACTCACCACCTCCCAGTGATTCAGGACCTGGGAGAAGAGGCAAGACCCGACAGTCGGTCTAATCTGAGACTGCTCTGAAGATAAACCCTCCTTGGTTTTCTCTGGACAGAGTCTGAGGGGAGTTCCCTGGAGAGAGGCAAGAAGTGTGGGTAAGGGTGTTAGAATCTTGGGTGGGGGGCCTGCTCTGGGGGATGGATCTGAAGAGCTCTCAGGGGCCGTGGTTTGAGGAAAGTTACTCTGAGGATAGAGCAGGGGGCAGCAGGTCTGAGATGAAATAGCAAGGAGAAAGCCTGGGCTGTGGGATAGGCTAGTGGGGTGAGTGGGCCAGCAGGGGATGGAGAGGGCGTGTTAGAATCTCAGAATTGGAGGGGAGGGGGCGTTCTCATAGTTCATCTAATCCAACCCATACAGGAATGGAATCTCCACTGTACCACACCCAGCAGGGGGTCGGTCACCCAACCGACAGGGAGGAATCCACCGCCCTGTGAGGCAGCTCCCTACACTTTGAGACTTTGCTAACGGTTAGGAAGTTTCCCCCCCCAGCCCAAGCCTAAACCAGCCTCATTGAAACTTCCATGCACTGCTCCTAGGTCTGCCCCCTCGCCCCTCACCAAACAGACCAAGCCTCCACAGGACAGCCTCCAAATGCTTGAACACAGCTTTGCGGGCCCCCCCCCCCCCCCCCGAGCATTCTCTCCTCCAAGGTAAACGTAAACATTTCCAGTGCCTTCACCCCTTCAAACGATGCACTCAGACGACCCTTCACCATTCCGGTCACCCTCCTCCAGATCAGTTCGAACTCACTGTTGCGACCCCAGAACTGAACACGAAACTCCAGAGATCTGATGAAGGCGGGGGACAGTGGGACGGACTGTCGCCTCCGTCTGCCCGGGAACTATGCCTTTCTTATTGTTGCCCTAGGGATGGGGTTCAAGGGAGAGGGGAGTGTGAAGGAAAGGGGAGAGTGGACAAAGGTGTGTGTGTGTGTGTGTGTGTGTGTGTGTGTGTGTGTGTGTGTGTGTGTGCGCGTGCGTGTGTGTGTGTGTGGGCGGGGGATGTATTCCAGACAACTGCAAACCCATCTCAGACCCAATGCCCCGCATCTCTCATTCCAGGTCCTTGCTCCATTCATTCCTTCAATCAACCATTCCATCAAACAACCTTCGCTAGACTGTGCCAGCCCCTGCGACTTTGAGCCAAGAGGAGAAGCCGGGGACGAGGGAAATGCCTGGGAGACAGAGAACTTGGGTTTAAATCCCAGCTTTCCCACTGACCAGCTGTGTGACCTTGGCCAAGTCATTTCACTCCTCTAGCCTCAGTTTCCTCATCTGTAAAATGGGGAGGGGCGGACTAGGGGGGCCTCCCCCTCCCTCCCCAGTAGGCGGCTGAGGAAGTAGGAGGGCTGGGAGGCACAGCCCTGACACTAATTAGCTATGTGACCTTAGGCAACTCATTCACTTCCCTTCTCTGGCCCTTTGTAAAAGTGGGGGGAGGGGGAGTTGGGCTGAACTGGGCTGGATGGTCGCTAAGGGTTTTTTCTAAGTCTAGACATCTTCAGAGCCTCGTTCCATTTCAGAGAGCGTGTTGCTCCTCCCCTCCCAGCTCTGACTGGCGGGTGACCGGAGGGCGGGCCCTTTAAGAAGAAGTAGATCCGGCTCCGGCCTCCGCGAGGGGAGGGGGAAGGGGAAGGGAGGGGCGGTCTCCGGGAACTCCTCTCGGAGCGGAGCGGAGCGCTGCGCGAGGGTCGGAGAGTCCCGGAGAGTTGGGCCGGAGCCTCTGAGGCGCTTGCGCAGCTGGGCGGTGGTTGGTCTGCGAAGCTGAGGGGCGTCGCGGGGCTGGAGCAGGTGAGAGGGGCGAGGCTGGGGCGTGGGAGCGCCGGAGGCCTGACAGCCGGGTTGGGGGGGGCGGGGAGAGAGGGCACGCGGGGTCCCGCCTTTGGGGAGGGGGCGTTTGTGTGTATGGGGGGGTTCCTCACGGCGCGTCCCTGTCACGCGAGGCCCTCTCTGAGGAGGGCCTCGAGAAGGGTCAGCCCGCTCCGGAGAGAGGGGGAGGGGAGGGGAGACCCCCGCTGAGTTCGAGGCCAGGCTGGGTCGTCATAGGCCGTTCTTTCCGTTTTCTGGCCCTCAGTTTCCTTGGCTGTAAAACGAAAGGGTTAATTCCTGGGCCTCAGTTGCCCCTGTTTGTAAAAGGAGGGAGAAGGAGGTGTGAACTAAATCTGTGGCCCTGGAACGTGGTTTTTAAAAAAAATATTTTGAAACTTTTACTTATTTAATTTTTTAAAAAAATACTGAATTTTAATCCAAACTAAAATAAATGGTTTCCTTTGTAATCCTGCGTGTTTTATTTTATGCCTTTAAAAACATCATTCTGAGAAGGCTTTACCCAAAAGGTGAAGAACCCCTGGCATAGGTGGTCACCCTCTGGTGGTCATCTTTGAGTCGTGGCTTCCCTTCCCGAGCCTCAGTTTCCTCATCTGTAAAATAAGGGGGGGTGTTTAGATGATTTCTAAGACCCCCTTCTAGCTCTGGGTACTCAGATCCTCTTAAGTTGGCTTCTCTTACTGAGCCTCAGTTTCTTCATCTGTAAAATAAGAGGAGGAATTAAATGATTTATAAGACTTCCTTCTAGCTCTACGTCCTAAGTTCCTCTTAAGTCGTTTTCCTTTTCTGGGCCTCAGTTTCCTCACCTGCAAAATAAGGGATTGGGTTAGATGACTCCTAAAGCCAGTTCTGCTCCAAAGTTGGCATGGCCTCAAGAAAACCACTCTCTCGGGGGCCTCAGTTGCCCCATCTGTAAAATAAGAGGCTTGGACTAGAGACTGATTTTTATTTAGAGTCCCTTCCAACTCCTTTGGCCAAATCCTGTGATCCTCTTAAGTCTTTTTCTCTTCTTGGGCCTTAGTTTCCTCATCTGTAAAATAAAGATGATGTATTAGATCATCCTGGGAACACCAGGATATTGTCATAAATCTTTCCTTTGTCTGGGTCAAATGTCAAATGAGGTATCTTCCAGCTCAGTGAGTAACTGGTTCCTCCTTTTTGGGGCTCCCAAGAGTGGTCTTTGCTCCCTCCTTCAAAGAGGTGGACGTTAATAAGTGAAGGGGAGAACACAGCCTCAGGGCAGAAATTTTGAGAGCAGCCTCAAGTCATTGAGAGTTTGTTGGGGACTTGGGTGAAAGCTGTCCCTGTTGAGGGTATTCTGTGACCTCCTCCACCTGTCTCTGATAATTTAAATTGTGAAACACTAGAAAATTTCACCAAGCACTCTGAACATGAACTTTGGATTTTCTTGGTGGTTGACTTCATTTAAAAATACTTATACGTTTGTTGCCTTTTTAAAGCTTAAAGCTACAGATGTTATATTTTTTAAATAAAAGCCCTTAGGAGGGTTGGCTGTTGGGGTAAAACAACTTTGGTATGTGCTGTGAGATTTCTGAGAAAGGGGCAGTTATCCAGTGTATGTCCTGGTAGTGAAAATAAGCAAAAGTCTGTCCGTATGACTACTAGACCAAGACTTTTATTTTTGAGGAGGGGTGGCATGAGTTCCATTCTCCCTCAGGAAAGCCCTATGCCAGAAATCCCCATGTTGGAAATCCCCACTGTGTTGGCATATTAAGAAGCATCTTGATGTTTTTCCCCCTTACAAAAATAATTCGAAGTGTTTTTATGGCGACCCTAATTTTCTGAATTGTGTGAAATAACTTTCAACTTCCTTCCCTATTGATTCAGATTAACTAGGTTTTTTTTTTTCAATAATTTACTAAAGGCAGTTAGAAACTTAAAAACTTGAAATGTCAGGCTTTTAACATGAGAGTTAATATAAGTTGGTCAAGTAATCACAGAGCCTCTAAGAGAGTGAATCTTAAATTTTACTTTCAGCTTTGACATAGAATAAATGTCTCAGTTTGTCACTTTGTTAAAGTAGAAATAAGATTCAACAGCAACTTTTTCTGAGACTTAAATGTTTAAACTGTATATTTTGGGTACTTTAAGAGATTGTGGAAATGCTAATTTAGTACATTATATTTTTAGGGTTTTTTTTTTTACATTTTAAAAACAGATCTTTATGGATATCTTTTGTTTTTATATTGACTGAATTTCACCCTTATCTCTTCTCCCCCCTCAGAGAACCTTCACATATAACAAAAAACTTTTTAAAAAAAGAAAAAAAATCAGCAAAATTTAGCAAAACCATCCTCTTACCCCACCTCAGCAAAGGAATTGAGAGGGTGTCTTCTCGTGTCTCTTCTTTGGAGCCAGGCATGTTCTTTATAATTTTGCATGAGTCATGTAGATTATTTTGTGGTTATTGTTCACATTGTTGTAGTCTTTTGTGCATAGTGTGTTCTTTGTTCTACTTATTTGACTTTGCATCAGTTCATGTATTTCCATACTTCTCTGTATTCATATTCATCATTTCTTTGAGAAGAGTGAGATGATTTTCTAAACAATTTTAGTGATATTTCTTTATATAACATTGTTTAGTTTTTAAAAAGTAAAATTGTCTTCTGAACTATATTCTTTTTGAAATTTTAGCAATAGGTAGCTTTTCGGGACATTTTTCCATTGTAATTGTTTTCTAAAGTAGAGGGTTAAAGAAACTTCCAACATCTGAATTTAAAATAAAAAAATTTGTATAAATATACATATATACACATATATTTGTGTACACACACACACATATATTTTTTTACTCTTGCAACGTTAAAATCTTAAGAGTGTGTGTGTGTCTTCCTGTTTTCCTGGAATTTAGAAATTCAGTTACTAAACCAGACAGAAGGTGAATCAGCCAGTTGACTGATAGGTGGAAAAAACTGGAAGTTGTGTCTTTAAAGGAAATCTTCACTTACCGCCCCCCAAAGCATTCTAGCCTAACTTGAGGGGTTAAGTAGTCTCTCTAATCATTAATTACCTTTTCTGATTTTAGAGTACTAGATATCTTTTTGTGATTTATTTATAACTAAACACTAATTTTGTCCTGCTATATTTGAGATGTTTTCCTTGAATATATAGAAGTATCTTGTTATTTTCCAGGTAGATGGCTTCAGACCTACTTTTGTCAAAAGGAGTTTTGATCCCTTCCTGTTAGGATTAAAAAGCAAAGTCTTTTTCAAAATTATCTACTAGATCAGAACTAACCCCCCAACCCACCCCTACTACCCACCACCCAGTAACACTTGATGTTTTGTGAGACCTACCTCTGACCTGATTTGTTAGGCCATTTTGAGGCTAAAATAGTTTTAAAATATTCTTCTATCAGTTCTCTACTTAGTAGTACTTTGCCAATTAAAAATATCCAATTATTGTTCTCTGTTAGAATAAAGGGGATAAGAGATTTGTTTTTGGATAGATATATTAGGGCAAGAACCAAGAACTTGAATTTTGGCAGTGATGAGAACTTATGTGACCTTGGGTAAATCTTTTCTATGTGCTTCCATGATTTTTCTACTTTAATAGTAGAACAAAACAAATAATAATAGGAGCAGCTAGGTATCATAGTAGATAGAACAGTAGGCCTGGAGTCAGGAAAACCTGAGTTCAAATTCAGATCCAGACACTACTAGCTGTGAGATCCCAGGTGAGTCAGTTAACCTCTGTTTGCCTTAGTTTTCTCATCCGTAAAATGAGACTAGTAATAGTACTTACCTCCAGAAGTTGTTGTGAAGATCAGATGAGATAATATTTCTAAAGTGCCTGGCACATAGTAGGCACTATATGTTAGCTATTGTTATTATAATAATCCTTGACCTGATGTGAAGATTGTTGGTTTTATTATATATATTGAGTTTTTCTTCCTTCCCCAGATTGTTGTTTATATATGCTTAATTAATGGTTTTAAGTGGTTTTAAAAGTCTTTAAATCAAACTTTTTGATTGCATTACCCCTATGGTAAAAAAAAAAAAAAATGAGCAAGCACTCCTAATGTATGAATATTCTCTTTTAAAATTGTGTAGATTAACTGGGGTGTGACTTCTGTCCCACCCAAATCAAAAACGGTGGAGTGTACATGAGGCTTTTATTCTCCCTTCCCCATTTTTTTGAGACTCTTATTTAATACTTTGTTTTTTCCCAATTACATATAAAAACAATTTTAACATTCTTTGTTTTTCAGATTTTGAGTTCCAAATTCTCTCCTGCCCCTCTGCCATTGAGAAGGCAAGCAATTTGACATAGGTTATACATGTGTAGTCATACAAAACACATTTCCATGTAAGTCATTCTGTGAAAGAAAACACAGACAAGAAAAAAAAAAAAGAGAAAGAAAGTAAAGAAAAAGTATCTTTGATCTGTATTCAGGCTCTACCTGTTCTTTCTCTGGAGATGGACAGCACCTTTCATCATAAGTCCTACAGAATTGTCTTGGATCATGGTATTGCAGAGAATAGCTAAGTTATTCATGGTAGATCATCATACAATATTGCTGTTACTGTGAACAATGTTCTGCTTCTGCTTATTTCACTTTGTGTCAGATCATGTGAGTCTTTCCAAGTTTTTGTGAGAGCATCCTGCTTGTAATTTCTTAAAGCACAATAGTATTCCATCACAATCATATACAATTTATTCAGCCATTCCCCAATTGATGGACATCCCCTCAATTTCCAATTCTTTGCCACCACTAAAAGAGCTGCTATAAATATTTTTGTAGACATAGGTTCTTTCCCTTTTTGTTTTTTTATCTCTTTGAGATATAAAACTAGTAGTAGTATTGCATAGTCAAAGGGTATGCATGGTTTTATAGTGCTTTGGGTATAGTTTCAAATTGCTCTCCAGAGTGGTTGAATCAATTCACAACTTTACAAGCAGTACATTAATATTTTAATTTTCCCACATTCCCTCCAACATTT